ATAATAGTGAGGAGTTTGAAGAAGCATGCTATATATACAAGACCATATATGTATATAGATGGGTGTGTGTATTTATGTACATATATGCAGCCCTTATCCCCATTGGACCTATACCTCTTAGAGAAACCAAGCTGCTTTCTGGATAATGTCATTGGTAAACCTGATGGCAAATATACATGACACTACTTTTTCCATGACAAAAAATGCTTATCTTAATAAAAGAGTTATCTATCAGTTATTCTAACTGGACAGCAAGATCATTGGTTAGATATGAATACTTATTGCAACTCTAAGGAAAATTATATTTACGCTGAACAAGGATGACTCACTCAAGAAAGAAATTGTGCCTGACCATGCATATAAACTTACTTGATTCTAAACACTACTACTTCATGATGCAAACCTTCCCCTAAATATAAGTCCAAACCAGGCACATTCATTCCTTTGCTATCACACATCAGTGGTCTTAACCTTTGTGGACAGCATTGCACCATTAAATAAACAGCATAAAATGTTTGGGTGTTTTTTTGTTTGTTTGTTTGTTTTGTTTTGTTTTGTTTTGGGTTTTTTTTTTTGAGGAAACCACAAAATCTCAAGCTTTCTCCCTTCCCTCTCAAGTAGAATTTAGCCAGCCACGTTTTGTTGGAAATAGCATGAACATGGACACAAAATTTGCTGACTCTTTTTCTTCCATAGCAATGTATATACTGTTACCAGTATGCAGCTGATAAATTTTAAAGACATAAATACATCTGTACTCTCTTATTCCATCTCCATCCTCCTGCCAAATTAAGATGGGAATGCATCCCCTCTTCACAGATTACTTTTTTCACTGAAAAGTCAGGCTCTCAACTTTTGTAAGTTTTACTTTATTTGACCCAAATCTAGATGATTCCATTTAGCCAAAATAGTACACCTTACCCATTGGAAACAGAACACATGGCAACCCCTCTGACAGCTTTTCAACTTAACTACATTTGTGTTAGTGTCTGTGAGGATGTGATTCTTATAAATTCGCATCCTGCCTGCCCACAGGCCCATGACATTCAATCAGAGCCACTAGCCAACCTTGTACTAACTTCTGCAAAAGGTTGCAAATTGAGTATTTTGAAACAATTGATCAGAAAAATATTCTTCTGTAAAAGGAAATATATTATGTTCCAGCCTTCACTTAACAGATAGACTAAATAATGAAGGATTCTACTTCTTATCAGTTTCATTAAAAAATATTCTAGGGGGAGAATCATTAATAGAAGTGAATTCAGAGACTCTCACATTAATGGCAATCTTTCTTCATGTATACATAATTTAGGACTGATCAGACTTCAAACTTGTCATAACCACTGAATTTAGATCCATGCCAAATTTGAAGAAAGGTTCTGAAGGACAAATCAGTTCCCTGGTGCTATTCAATATTCAGCTGTCAGGGTGACACAGCTTTGATACTGCTTCACGTTTTCCCCACTTAAATTTTCCATTGCCTCCCACACTGTCCTGGTTCATCCCACCATTCCTCACCACCACCTCCTCTGTTCCCTCTGTGTACTGTGAGTTCATGCTGTACGTATGCCAGAGCAGAACAGGTTTGGCAGGATAAGTATTGCCTGGTAACTAATTTTATTTACCCAGCTTCTGGGACTTAAGGTTCTACAACATAATGAGAGGAAGGGCTTTTTCTTCCAAGACTGATGGAAAAAGTTTTGTGATCTAAGAGACTACTCTTTTGTGGGGGGGGGGATAAAAAAAAGGTAAACAAATAATCCTTTCAGTCAACTTGAAGTTTCTGTGCATATGAGTAACTTTCAGTTTTCTTTTTGGTGCTGAAAATATTTTATAATCGTGATAGAAGTAACAGTGCCAAACATGGGTGTTTCCCTTTCCCCAGACTCATTCCTGCTCACTGACTAGAGCTCAGCGATTACAGCAGCACAGCATCCATGTCAAATCTCCTCTTTGGCCTATGCCACCCAGCACAGACCAGGCTCTGGGCACTGGAGCACTGCTGTGAGCTATTCTTGCTTTTCACTGAAGCTACTATTTTTATCTATTGTCATTTTCAGTCACTGGACAAAAGACTAGAGTCCAGTGATCCCCCTCTCTGGTCGCTGTCTGCCACCAATCTGTCTTTTCTCTAGCCAGCACCTCCTTATCTTCTGATGTCTCAAGCCCTTCAGCATTTCATTGGAAATATTTCTGTAATTAAAGATTATTCTAGTTAACCAAAAATCTCAGAGAAGAACAGACTGCCATTAACACTTCTTTACTTCATTTTCACTTCTCCCAACAGAAAATGTCAGTGACTCATATAGCTCTGAAAGGGCCTCACACTTCTTATGTACAAGAGAGGATTTTCTCAGCCTCTGGACTATGCCATAGAAGCTGCTATCCCAGTGACGTGATAGGGGAGTTGTCCTACCTCCCTAGGCATCAGAGTTGGAGACTACTAATTTTCTCTGTGGTTTTCTAGTACCCCGGGACACAACTGTGGTTTCTGTCTCAGTTCTATGGTGGATTAGAATGTCTGCCTTCTTTTCTGTCCCTGCAGACAGGCCGCTTGTGTTTGCATTTTTTGTAGCTCTGAGGGAGTTTTGTGCAATGAAGAACACCAGTATCTACCAATAGTGGGTTTCTTCACTCTGCTTGCAGCTGGACTTCTCCAACAGTAAGGAGCCCAGTCACCACAGAGCATTGTTGGTGTACAATGTGATGATGTGGTACACTTTATTAACTGGATGCATATTTTATTAAGAGGAATGATCACCATAGAATGAAACTTCTGCTACGAAAAGGCTGTTCTGTAGCAGCCTGTTCCCCAGTTTCAGTCACTCCCTGCTGAAGCATGTCGTGAAGTCATGTTATACAGGACAGAACATGGAATTCAGTACACTGAATCCTCGACTAGCCTAATCCTTGACTAGCAAAACATGTAAATGGATATATACTGTGGAATGAAGCTGGAATGCCATAACTGCATTCACATGTGATATTATCATGGTAAATACAATCACTCAAATCAGAAAACTGAATATGAAGACACCTTCCTATTCCAAAGAAATATATAATTAAGTTCTTCGTTATGTTAGGCACTTTGAGTTAAAATATGAATATCAATAATGGTGGCTGAAACTCAGTCCAGATGTTTGCTTTTGAAGCAAGAACTGAATGCTTTGGTGACACAGCTGTGACACTCTGCCATTGTTCCCCTCAGCCCATACCTCTAAAAAGCTTTGGAGATAAAAATTGAGTTAGGAGAGTATTGCAGGTTCTGTTCAGCAGAGAGTCCTCCTTTTCTCTTCAGTGCAACAAGCCTCGATGTGTGAGAGGCTTCTAAAAATGGAGAGTGACTGATTCATAAAAATGGAAAACTGAAGGAGGCTGATTCAGCTTACCCAGACACACTTTCCTATAACTGAAGAGAGGTGTGTTGTTAGGCAAACATTTTCTGACATTTAAACAAATATTTGGCTTGAAGGTAGGGAAAATTCTGTTTTATAGCAAAGACATGACCACTGCCTATCACAAATACCACACGTGTTCTCCCAGCACATCATGGAGAGTCTGCCTGCTCAGCCTGTCTCCTGTGTACCTCCCACATCCCCCCAGTGCTCTACTGACCAACCATTCAAGCAGCTACTGTTTGCATATAAGAACACATTTACATTTTAATGAAACATGGGGGTGGGGGATGTGTTCAGGGCCCTAGAATGACCCAGCTGTGGCAGTGGGGAATAGACCAGGAACTGGATGAGCTGTTCTGTCAGGCCAGATTTATCCCATAGCTTCATGTAGCTGTTGTATAAAAGGAAATGTTGACATATAATTTTAAGTTTTTAGCCTAATTTTTTTTTTGCCTTTCATTTTTCTATTCTTTTCCCACAGTAGTCCTTAAAGCTTAGATGGGTACCTCACAGCTTAAGACAGGTTCCCGGATTTTATTTACTCTGTCCAAACTCCCTGGCTCAGCCCTAGTAAATTTCTAATTTGCAAGTTACTGCTTTGTCTCTGTATAAATTGCCATCAGCTGAGATGTGGAAGGGCCATGGCAGAGCTTTGTGACCAGGAACCCCTGTCTCTCTCCTTTACTAGAAGCTGTCTTTATTCACCCTAAGGGATAGTTTGGGAAGCTGTAATTTTTACTGTTCCTTTTCATCTGGTGGGGAGCCTCATCTGGCAAGTTTACTGTGTGGTTGCTGGTTGGAGTTTGAGATGGATGAAGAAAGAAGCATTCACAGTGAAACTTGTGAAGATCTCTGGCTGGGGCTACGCAGAGGGCTGCCTGCACAGTGCATTTGTATTCACCGTGGGTGCTGCACTGAGCACTAGCCAGGAACTCCACACTATTAAAAAGTGTCTCACAAGAGCAAAGATTCCTTTAGCTTGTTTGGGGAGCTGCTGGAGGTCACCTGGTTCAAACTGCACCCCCAAACAGGCCCCATTTTGAAGTTACAGACCTGAGGGAGGACTTCAGCACCTGACATCTGGGTTTCTCCTTGAACTCATCACATCCTGCACTGAATGAAAGTCAGCCTCCCGCTTCACACTGCGTCACCTTATTCTGCGTTGAAACGTGAATGAATGAATAAATCAGCAAATAATAACAACAACAAATAAATAGTGGAAGAATTGCTGCTTTGGGGGTTTCTCACCACAGGGGGCGGGGAGCAGCGGGGCAAGGAATTCTCCAGAGACTTTTGTGCGGAAAGGGGAATAAACGTCCGCCGCAGCGGGGCGGGGGGAGGCTCTCGGGTCGGTTTCTCTGAGCGCCAGCGGGGGATTCCACAAGTTACTGGGAGACAAGGAACAGCAGCGACAGAAGGCGCCGGCGTCCCAACACGAGGCGGCGGGAGCAGCATCGGCGGCAGGAGGAGGGAGGGGAGGCCCTTCCTCCCCGCGTCCCTCCCTCCGCCGCGGTACCTGCGCCGCGCGTCCACGTGAGCGCCACATCAGCGCCGCTCCGCGCCCTCAAAGTCAGCCAGCGGCCGCACGGGGGACAGCCGGCGGTCGCGCTCCCCCTTCCCTTCCCTGTTTCCTTCAGCCCCCGCTCCCCTCAGCGGCCTGGCCCGGCCCGGCCCGGGGCTCAGCCGGCCCCGGCTCGGGAAGATGCTGCAGTCGCTGGCGGGCAGCTCCTGCGTGCGGCTGGTGGAGCAGCACCGCTCCGCCTGGTGCTTCGCGCTGCTGGTGCTGGGCTACCTGCTCTACCTGGTGTTCGGCGCCGTGGTCTTCTCCTCGGTGGAGCTGCCCTACGAAGACCTGCTGCGCCAGGAGCTGGGCAAGCTGAAGCAGCGCTTCCTGGAGGAGCACGCCTGCCTCTCGGAGCAGCAGCTGGAGCAGTTCCTGATGCGGGTGCTGGAGGCCAGCAACTACGGCGTCTCGGTGCTCAGCAACGCCTCGGGAAACTGGAACTGGGACTTCACCTCCTCCCTCTTCTTCGCCAGCACCGTCCTCTCCACCACGGGTAAGGCAAAGGCGGTTCGCCCGCTGCCGGAGGCCTTCCGGGGAGGCCCGGACCCCCGAGGGCCCCGCGGCGGTGGCGGAGCCGGTGTGAGGCGGCCGGGGCCGGCGGCACGCGCGGGGCCGGGGGCACGGAGCGACCGCCGGCCGCGCGGCGCTGGGCGTGAGGGAGCTCTGGAGGCAGCCTACTTCCCAAACTCTCCTGTGCGACGGGCGCGTTTTGTTAGGATGCATCCCCCATGAGTGACCCCCCCGTGAATTCGGCGCCAAGAGCCAGGCTGCCAATTCCCCCACGCTGAAATCGTTGGCGGTTTCGAAAATCCGGCGAGATGCCCGGCTCTTTCTTTGAACTTTTAAATGCTGCTAGAGGTGACTCCTTTGCGTTCTCCTTTGGTGTTTTCTTTTCTGGCTGATTCTTTCCCGGAGGTGGGGGGATACACACACGCGGATGGACGGGGACGGACTGCTAACCCGGTTATAATGAAGTTAAATTTCATTTTCATGTTTTACTGTCAATTTCTATTGAATATTTGCATATAAGTGACTGAAAGATAATGCTTCCTTTCTTCCAGATAGCAGTTTGCATTGGTGTTTTGAAAAGCTCGAGGAAACGTTCCTCTGACCATAGTTTTTACAAGGACTTATTTTTACAGTAGTTACATTTTGCATACCATCATAGTGGAAAGCCTTCTAAAGGACAAGTGCAGGCATTTGTGCTGGGAGGCTGGGTTCTGGTGATTTGAATGCAGGTCACTGACACAAATAGGGGGGGCTTGTCAAATTAGAAGAGTTTTTAAAAAAATCACCCCAAAATTTGTCCAACCAGAGAGGACTTTGTATCTTGGCAGTACATTGATACTGCTATAAAGTATGCACTGTTTCTTTCTTTCTTTTGGTTTTTTTTTTTTGCTTCCTTGACCCCAAATTAGCACTCCTTCTTTTATGGGAAATTTAATCAGCTGATACTAACAGTGACATTTAATAATTTGCTTACCTGTTCATATGTTAGTACTTCCTGACTGATCTCAAACAGGCGATGCTTGTCCTATAAATAGTTGTCATTGAGTATATAGATTAGGGTTACAAGGAAGTTGTGTTTTTAAAAAGTAAAACAGGTTTGTGGGTGTCCCCAGGACACCTCACCTTCCCACTTCATAATTACTGGAGTTTGTAAGAAGAGAGAATGTGACACACTTAAAGAGTTTAATGCTTTCAGTGAATAAATTTGCGAGCATTAATCAACATATAGGAATACTGCTGATGAAAAAAGGATAGAACTGTGATAGTACTTCAGCACCCAATTTTTTTCTTTCTTTTTTCTTTTTCTTTCTGTAAAGCTATGAAGCACTTAAAACTTAAGGAGCTGAATTGACCTGCTTTTTTCCATTTCTAATCAGTTATACTGTTATGTACTATAAAATGTAAATTATTTTGTCCTAGAGCTATTTTTATATTCAAATAAGTTTTTTCTGTAGTGTAGTAACTCACATTAAAATAATTTTAAAAGGGTATTTAAAAAGGTCCTGCTTTTTTTTTTTTAATGACTCAGTCAAAAAATGTTCACAGTTGGAACAGTGGAGGTGGGTCTGAGTTGGTAACACCTTAACACTTCTGCTGATGCACAGCTACAGGATGTTTGGCTTCAGTAGTACAGCTCATGCAGGGATATCTCTTTCCCACTGCATGTCTGCTGAAGGGCAAGGCATAGCTTGGCCCTGCCTATTTAGCTGGCTTGATCATAGAGGCCTTGTCAGGGAAGAAGACTCAAGGTACCATTGTCCGAATGGAAAACTATTTTGAAAATGCCACTTACGTGGCATGTGTGCAGAAAACCCAGAGGTCTGACATGTATGAGGTGTGTTTTCATTATTTCTGTCAGCTTCATAGAGTTCATCCAGTCATCACTGATGTAACAGACCAGGCATCAAGTGGTGCTACTTCCTTCTGTGTCTGATAGTCCTTTTGACTTGGGCCCTTTTTAACCAAATCTGTCTGTTTCTTGTTTTATGCAGTGGCTTTCAGCTGTATTTAATCCCTATTTAATATAAAATAGAGTTTGTACGAGTAGACAAGTATCAATTCAGAGAAGTACAGTACCTCCAATGCTTGTTCAAATTCTCCCCAGAGCACAGGTGTTTCTGGGGAGGTGCATTTTTTTCCCCTCAGTTGACTCTGAACTTGTGCAAGAAATCTTTCAGGTCTCTTGAAATGGTCATTAAAAGGGACAACAAGCAGAAGAACCCGCCTGGCCACCTCAAACAGTTGTTCAGAAGTGTTTGAGCATTCAAAATATGCTGTATTGTTATGAAGTATACACCTGAAATGCCCTCCCTTTGCCAAGTACACTGAGGGAAAAACAGAAGAGAGATCCCTGCTACTGGTGATGCCAGCTGAGGGCTGTTTCTGTGTGTAATTGAAATTACAGGGAGCGCCTGGATGTTCCTTATGTTCAGCTGAGTGAATTTGTCTCTCATATGTAAATAAATGCACACCTACCCCTTGTACAGAGGACAAGGCTTCTTTCATAGCCTTTCAGTTTTCTATATAAAGCTTGTGGGGAAGTGTTTAAATTTAGCAACCCTGGCTTTTCTTCTTGTTCCCTCCCATCTTATTATAGTCTTTGGCTTCTTACTCACTAGAGAAAATCCTTGAACGAAATCATAAAGCCAGTTAAGAATTTAAAAAAAAAATCTTAAAGGAGATTGCAGAATAAGGCAAATTGCTGATTGAAAGCAATTAATATTGCTGTGCACATGGGCTGTCACAGGATTGTCACAAGCTGCCTGAAGGACAGGCAAGCAAAGGGCAGTGAAATGGACTGGTGGTGAGGCTTCAGCAGATTGTAGCAGTGACAGGCAGCAGGTTTCTCTTCTGACTTTATTCCTCCCTATGCAACTTAAGCAGTTGTGCGGAGTGCCATATGAGTGGTGTGTAAGGTGAAGCACTTTGGTCATTAATAATTGACAACCTAAATACTAAGAATATACAGTTGTGTGCATTTAAGTAGTGTCTGCCTTGGAAATTCCCTGTAATTAATACCTGACACACATCTGTGGTCTGCTTGTCTCAATGCTAGATGCCATCAAATCATTATGCTGAAGCAGTTCTTTCTGGTTGGCTTTGTTGTGGTGCCATCTGTACTAAAGTCTTTTATTTCTAACAATAAAAATGAGGTAATTTTTTGCAGTCACCCTTGCAGGTGGTGTTTTAACTTGTCTTGGCATGCTGTCAGTGTGTAATGTCTTATCCCATATTGGTACAATATGAGAATACTGCATTACACGAGTTGTAAGCAGAATGAAGCAACCAAAGAAATTGATACTGGTTATGTTGACAGATAAGAAAAGTACACTGACTTCTGCTTGTTGAAGGAAAATAGGTAAGGAAGGAAAGGAGCTGCCAATTTAGGAACTTGGGGCCTGTAATTTCATGTTTGTTTCTGGAAAGAGTCTTCTCAGTGCAAGTATATTCCATGGCATTTTATACAAACAGGCTGTCCAGCTTTTGAGTATTTTTGCCTTCATCTACAAGCCGTGCCACCTACAAGCGTGGCTGGAGATTTCATATAACATTTAGACACCAGAGGGATGCTGAGGAAGAGCTGCTTTGTATCCTTCTCTGCTGTGATAGGCTTGGCAAGATACCCATTAGAAGGAAGTGAGGATAGCCTTGTCCTGATTTAGAGATTTGCAGAGGAAAGGTGAGAAGTTGCCTCTTCTACAATGGCAACATGTGTTTTAAATGTTTTGATTGAGGTCAGCTGGCCTCTCATTTGGCAATAAGAGAGGGGAGGATTGTCCATATTTGACCACTTCTGAAGCCGTGACTTGGCTGTCTGCAAAGTGGTTTGTGAAAGCAGCATTTTCTCCATAATTCAGCCTGTACCAATCTCAGTGTTGGTGCTGAAGTTGGGTGTATTGTGCTGCATTCAGAGAAAGTCACCCAAGATCCACAATGAAATTTGGGTTTCTGCTCACTGGATTTTGAATGGAGTAAGGAGCAGTATTAATTCAGTAGTTGCAGATAAATGCTGACAGAGGCTGTTACTTTGAAAGTGCTTGGTTGAAGGGTGAGTAAAGATTCAATATGGCTTTCAGGGGAAATTTTGCATTTAGGTTATTTAATTGCCAAGCTGTATGAGGAGTTAATGCATCTATAATTTGATTTATAAAGGTATTCTCTATTAGAGCTGACTCTCATAAGCATTGCTACTGATGACTTGCAAGAGAAACTAAACTATGCAGGCTGTGAGGTTGTGACGTACTGCAAAAGAAAGTGCATTCTGTATGAAGAGACCGGGGAAAGAGAAGCCTGGCAGTCTGCAAGATTTTTCTCCATGTTCTTCTCACAAGTGCTTGATTTTCTTGCCTTCCTTCTCCCTCAAGGGAACAGGCCCCACATCCAGTGCATATTTAGTGTGCATTACAGATCTGAACAAATCCAAAGAAGATGGGTGAGTGCCCTGAAAGCATCACAATGGAGCATTACAAAGACATCATAAGATTTGTAGGCCCATACAGTAGAACCCTGAGGTGGAAGAAACTACTGGGATCTCTCAAACCTGTATAGAAAGATGTGAATAATAAATAAGAGGACAGTTTACAGAGGCTTTAGGGAAAACATGGTTTTCTGTCCCATGCTTGAATTCAATGTAAAATGCAATGTTATTTTTGCTGCTGTCAGAATATGTGGGCTGTGTCCCTGGTGATGCCTGTATTATCTCATTAATACACACCGAATAAGTGTGTTTCATAATTCATACCAAATGTCTGTCTAGAGACCTGACATAGGATTCTCTGTTGCCTCTTATCTGAAAATATACAAACTTGGTGATGGATTAAACTCAGATCTGTCTCACTGGTGGTCACCCCTGACTCCAGCAGAACACTGAAGCTTCATTGCGCTGTTGCTCTGACTGCAGCACTCATAGATTATTTAAATTGTTGCGATGAATTGCAGCTATTCTCCAGGATGAGGATGCCAAACTTTGGGAACTTTGTTTTT